CCAGAGCAGACATCACTGGAAAGCTACGACTTATCACCTGAATCAGCACAACGTGCGAAACCGTCGTCCCAGAAACCAGTGACTATGGCAACACCCGATGCAACAATCAACTTGCTTCCAGATTCAGAAGCTTCATCAACTGGAGAAGACCACACCAAGAACGCCACAACGACCCGCCGACCGCCGAGGCCGAGTCCAAGTCAAGCCCACATTTGAGAACCTACATGATAGAATAATAAGCTTACTATTGTTAAGATTGGAATGTTCTCATTGCTCTATTTAAAGGCAGCGTCCGCGATCAACCAAAGTGAAAAAACCCTCCATTGAAAACGAACGCGGAGTCCGCAATCACAGCAGAAATCCCACTCTTGCGGCTCGAAATCGATTGGTTGACGAGGGCGGAGTCAACAGAGCCGGGCTGACGCCTCCTGTCCTGTTAATCCCGCCCCGACTGGTTGACAGTTATCAATGCTTGCTGGCATTGATATACGCTGAATTTCTAGAGTTCCGAGGCGGCGACGTGTATTGGAGAACTCACCAGAAGTTTGCGAAACTCGTCCACATGCCTTAAATTTCATAGGGTCTTATTTCACGCTCTTCCACACCTTTTTCCTGCTTTTTTTGATTAGTGCTTCATTGGCCACCTGTTCTAGCAAATGTGACCCCTGAAACCTGCCAAAGTCCATCGCGGGCGCTGTCTTTAAATCACTCCCACCATACATCTGTAGGGGGAGTGTTGTGGCAGACGGCTAGATACTATGTGCCGTCAACGGCCTAGAGATAATGAAGCTGTTTTGTTTAATTTAGATGTTGTGCAGTGAATAAGGCGGTTTTTCTTTTCCATTGGGTCTAATAAGACCCTCTGTGCGGTATGTTGTCAATTGTCGTCTTGTGTGCTGATAAAGCACTCCCACCCGAAGTCGTAACACCCACTCCCTTAGCACTGGGCGCAGGCGCCTTGGACGAGTTTTTCGGACGTCGGCAAGCCCAATCAGCAGGATTCGACGGGCAACCGATCCTTGGCAAGACTCACGAAACCACCCTAAGGAAATGAAACCCCCGGACACTGTGTGGCTTCTTAACGGAATGGCGCTGTGTACACACGCCATTCCGTTAATAAGCCGTTGTCTTGCAGAGTGAAAGTCATCACTGTTGCAACGGTTGCAATAATCACGCGTCTCTAGCTTCTTTATCTCGCCTTTTCGAGTAAAGTGTTATATTTCCTGCAAACGCGGACAACGGTGCTGAATGCGCAGAGGCATTTCGCGGATCGCTTGATCGGAATTGTCTTTAAAAGACAAGCCGCATTCCCACCTTTGGAAACCTTTCCTGTGTGCGAAGCGAATGGTTCCGCAGCTGTAGTAGCACGCACGCCCCTATCTCCGCTCAAAACTGCACGGAAACGGGCTGTAAGGTAGTGGTACCCGAAATTCGTCTCCCTACTCCGCCCGCGCTATCTTCAGTGTTCAGCTTTTCCGTCGATACCAACATCCCCCGGCGAAACGGCTACCCAGCGGTAAAGAGCAATCAGAGAGAGGGCAGACAATTAGCCTGACTATGGCGGATTACGGAGACGTCAGTTACGTAGCACTGAATTGTCGTGCGTGGTCCGACAACGAAACTCGAAACCATTTAACGCAGGCAGACGGATGACTGTGGCTGCCAAAGCATTGAAATGTGTAAGAAACATGTGGTGAGCTAGGATACACCTTTTCAAGAAGGGGGAGGGAATTCCGAGGGGGGTGAGCGTATCCCTCCTTTTTCGTAATGGCGCCGAATATAGCAATTTTCCCCAACGATAGTCAACAAAATCCGCTTCCTTCGCCAACTCCGCACACTGTGATCAGTGATCCCAAAATCCACATTATTGTTGATCACTCCTTCCATAATGCTGCACATCGAACCCCTACATCTCACGCGCTCTGCAAAAGAACTTGTTTGCTCATAAAGACGAATCTTAAAGGCAACTGGCACGATAGATCCCCAAGACGCGTAGGATAGTACGCCTACCGGGACACAATTCAGCGGTCATGAGCAGGCGCTGCGTGGCGCCTTTTCCAAGGGGGTGGGTACCCTTAAATGCCCTGTCAAGCTGCAACATAGCGATCGGGAAGCCCACCGAGCCCACCCGCCAGCAAATGTACGGCCGACGGCGATGCTGTCTTCGCTCAAAGGGATTGATATGCAGCGGTTGTAGTGCTGCACGGATATATGAGTACATACAGGGGGGGGGCAAAAAAAGTCACTTCGACCGAGTCACATATCAGCAAAGTTTTCGCTGCCCAGACAGAGGACGTGGATACGAGTACCAGGGCGGAAGATACCCAAGATGTTCCTCTATAAGCAGGAGCTGGCTCGCCCATCACCTTCATGTACACCAAAATATGAAGTCATCTCCAGTCGTTCTGATTCAATATCGCGCTCCAAAACAGCTGCGAAACTGTCTAGTATGGAGTCACCATGGATAGCTGCTGGACCTGGAGACCAGTACTCTCGATCTGGATGACCTCCAACATCGAGCAGCTCCGACAACGTCGCCACGGTCTAGGACATCATCTTCACCGCAGTCGCCAAGGCGCGGGTTGATGGTATGGACCGGACGTACCTGGAATGGAAAGACCAATATTTTCTTCGTGGACCCGGACTGAAGGTGAGCGCTGGCGTTACATTGGGCAACCCGTGAAATATTCTCTCCCCACATGTGGTCGCCCGTACCTTCTTGGAAACTTTGTACTGCTACAGCATTGGGTGCCACCACATGGAATCGAAGGGCGTTGGAGAAACTCTCGCCTACTTGGAATGGAAGGGGGCTGAGTACCTAAAGAAGATGGAATCCAAGTAGGTGCGGCCTGATCTGAATCCCCTCCAAAAATAGCCCGGTTCGGGCTGGAGTTCAAGCTAGGGTGATCTAACGTGGGCGGGACGAAGTCGCCCTATCTCCGCTGATCTCTAGAGACCCCACTGATTTGCGTGCGCAGAAACTCTCGACGAGCGCCCCTCCACAAAGCTGTGGCGGAGTTCTGAAGTATTTGATTGCTCTGTTAATATGTGCGTAAAACGTGTCCGATCAGAGTTCATAAAGTTGTAAACTTAGTAGCGCTCGAAGGCCAAAGAGAGTAAAGTGACTTTTTTTGCCCCCCCCCCCCCCCCGTACATGAAGGCCGTATATACCGCTTAGCCGGATATTGACACAAATGTCCGCCTAGCGGTATATGAATGTATTGATATCGACGGGGAGACTCGTCTCGAACTGCTTTCTGACTAGGGAAGGTCGTCAGGTCGAAGTGGCCATTTGTAATGAGATGTAGCTCACTGGACGTGGTTTTGGACGCTGATCTCGAATCTGCTTCGAAATTTGCAGAACGATTCTCTGAACGGAATTATGAAGGTTTGTTAGAATTAAAACGAAGGAAACAGAGTCGAGCGCGGTCGCCGGCCAATTCGCATGAATAGCCGGGAAGCATCGTTACCTTCAACGGTGGCATGGTGTAGTGGTAATGGTCTTGCTTCACGGGTATAGTATGAAGGGTTCGGATTTCTGGAAGGGGGCTTGTTTTGCATTTTGTGGGGAATGTCTCTTTTGAGTTTAGAAATCACTCAAACGCCAAATGGGTGCCATATTCGTGTTCAGGGAGCAAAACTACCCTTGGGACAGGTTTCTAGCCAGATGTGAGGTTTTGACCTAACTTTGAAAAGTGCGGTAGCAGTTGATCGAATGATGGTCACCAATAGTTCCAGGGCCAGTCTCTTGTCGAGGGCTGTCTTCGGACAGAACTTTGCTTTAGATACCAGGAAAAACTGAGCTAACAAAATGAATGCGTTAAAAGGGGAGACGAGGCTTTGTGCAGGAGAATGTATCTGCAGCTGAATAGGTGTTAACATCAACTGAACTAACCCATGGATGCTTCACTTTTCGAAGTCAGGTCAAAATGCCAGATTTAGCTAGAAACCTCTGCCTAGGCGTAGCTCGCCCGATAAACACGAATATGGCACTCGCTCAGCGCGAAAACGCCTGCACTCCGCGCCAAGGGCACCTGTACATCCAAAATTCTACGGTAGATCATAAGGCACTAAGCGCGCCAGTAAGCGAACAACAAACTGTTTTTCAGGCAAGTCAAGGAGAGCGCTAATGTAGTAGTGACGCTACAACCACTTTTTGCCACGTTGACACAAGAAGCAAAAAAGTTAAGCTCAGCAGGGATCCGATCCCACGACCTGTTGCGTGGTAAACGCGGTGGAAAAAGCTCCATAACTCCGTTCAGAGAATCGTTCTGCAAATTTCAAAGGCAGATTCGAGATCAGCGTCCAAAAGCACGTCTAGTGAGCTACATCTCATTAACAAACGTGGCACCTTCGACCTTGACCGACCTTCCTCAGTGGTAGAACAAAGGCTTTTTTTCGCAGTGTTCCTGACCGTTTCGCTTCGTTTTTTCACCATTTTCGTCGTTATACCACCTCTGCTACCATTTACAAGGAATACCAAATTATCGCGCAATGCCTTTAGTAGATCCTGCAAGAACCCGATAGTGCCCTCAGATTCTGGGGACGAAAATCAAGGTAAGGACAAAAACCTAATGGAATGCGGAAAATAATTGATCGAATATGAATCTGCTCTCGAATGTCACACGGCATGTCTAGCACATGTGCCCTTTAGAATGGTATTGATCTGAATCACGCACAGTCACTGCACGAATTCACGCGTTCATGTCCAGTCCTGATACGTAAAGTCACAACAAAAACAACGAATCGATATACCAAGAGGATTTGGATAATTCTTTCCCAACGAGGACTTCTCCTCCAAACAGACCCTTCTCCAAGAACTATTGAGCAATTTGTAAAATTTTCATCAGGCCGATTACTACATTCCCCTAGGGCCTAAATATGACCTTCCGATGGCAATTCTGTAACTATTTACACGCTGAATTAGAATCCGTCTGATTCTCCACTCGCATGAAGCACTCAATGGCCTAGATGTATTCTGTGTTTTCAAAGAAGCAAATTTACAATGCGTCAGTATAACCAACCTCATCCTCATTGTTATCACCGTCTGCTATGCGCGCTCTTTTGGCGCTACGTCGTGACACTGAAGGACGTGGTCTTCGAGTTGGGTTCGATCCACCTGCATCGTTGTTGTTCCCGTTACTTCGGTCGGTTCCTAGATAGAACTATGACACTGTGCCACAAAACTATGCAAATTCTAACTGGACACATTACTAACTGCCGCGATTACGATTCGACGCTAGGAACTCCCGTAGATCCATAACGTCGTGTGGGAAACTAAAGTTTTTCATTAATGCTGATAATTTTTGACAAAGCAAAGATTTTGGCGAATACTCAGTGGAATTCTTAAATAATGTATGACAAATAGGGCATACGTTTCCCAGATGCGATCCTCGTTGTTAGCTTCTTCGTCGGCGTTAGGTTCAGTCTCAGTCTCCCTCTGCTCATCACCATGACCGCTATCTTCCGCTACTTCCTGTAAAAGTGCGTAGATCACAATGTACCTTTTCAAATGTAAAATCGTGGTTGTAAATATAAATAATATAAAACAGCAAGACTTTAAGCTTATTAGCAAAACTCACTTCCGTATCAGGGTGGGCGTCTTCGACTTTCGGAGCTGCAGAATCAGTTGACATCGAAGTGATCTCATTCGAAGTGTTTCCATTATCGGTATGGTTTAAACCGTTCATTTCGCCATTATTCTTTTCTTCGGGCACCTCGGACGTTGCCTCGACCGGCTGTTCCTCAGCACCATCATCCGCTCTTTCGTCAGCGGAAGCGTCACTCGAGGAGTCATCGCTCGGTGACGCTGACCTCTCACGATCGTCCTCTCGGTCGCGATCGCGACGGTTTCGAGCATCGCGTTCAAAGCCGAGAATGGCGTTCAGCCAGTGTAAGCCCATTCTACAAAAATGTATATTCGCACCACGGCTGCTTACATAGTCGATAAATGTAGCGCGCGAGCATTTCTTTTTAAACGTCAGCTTTTAGCACTAATCCATGCGAACAGCTGCCTATACGAGCAAGGACTTCGGGCGTCCACATTCACTCCGGATCCTGGAGAAGGGAAAGGGTTGCGTACTTCATTGTGAGCGGTGGGGGGGGGAAGGGGAGGGGAGGAGAGAGGGGCGATTTCGCCTCTACAACTGACCTGCGGCTAACATAGCATTTCACAAAGCAGAAACTGCATCAAGGCTGCAAGGAAGGGAGCAAAGGAAGCATTGGATCTTCGCAGGAATGGCAAAGAAGGAACGTATTTGTGAAAGTGCCACGACAAGACTTGAAAGTTGCGCAGGGTTCGCACGGAGCAGGCGATCTCCACTATTAATAACTTCTTAATAATAGCACATGCTCGCGTGTTACACTCGACTATGTAAGCAGCCTGCACTTCAACAGCTGCGGAAATTGGTAGAAAACAGTATTAGTGCGTTTTGAGTGCATGGAAGTGTCTGCTTTTTGGAAGAGTGTACTGTGCAACAGAAGAGGTTTTGAAAGGAACAAAGAACTCATTCAGTGGAACACGAAGAGATCCTCTTCTTCGTGCCGAAGACAAGGATAGGTATTGTGTTAAACCTATGAAGCGAATTTCGGAAGGGCAAAGTATAGCTGTAGGTAGTGACGAAGCACAAGCCAATTAAGGAAAGCACAAGTGCTGTACTATTGGAAAGTACTGCAGTCAGTTATTAGGTTGAGAAAATATCAAAGGGCGCCGATCAGTGGCAAACAGCCACTGACCATGATGGTCGTGCTTATTCTTTGTGTGATGATAACGTATACTGATTAGTGATGCATGCTAAACTAAAGCTAAGGTATACGACTAGCATGCTTGCACATCAGGCAACAGGTGCACCAACCATAAGGTGAGAAAAATTGAAGCGATTCAGTAATATAATGAATTGCAAATGTGATGCCCGCGTTCAAAAGCGAATTTGTTTCCTCATTACTCAATGAAAAGACTGAAAATAAGATAAAAGTGAAGAAACAGAGCACTAAAAACCCACCCAATACCCACAGTAAGAAACTCATGCTGGACCGCGCTTCTACATGCACAAGGAGAAGAATGGGCGTGGTCGGACGCGTCTCATCTGTTGGTGCTCCTTATCACCTCACTCTCATTATTCGAGATGGAGGGAGTTAGCAAGCGCACGATCAGATAACACTCAAAATGTAAATCGGGCAAAGCCGTGGCCATTGAGCGGGGTCGTAATTCCGTCGCGAGCGAGTTACTCTTCCTCCTGTGTTTTTGAGCAGCGAAGATAGTACATTCTCTATGCTCGTAGACAGGACTACAGTGTCTGAAGAAGGCCCCAAACAGCAACTAAACGCGTGGCGTGCCTTCAAAGGTTGAAGAGCGCCAATATTTCATGCAAAGAAACACAAAACTTCTGGATTCTGTTAAGAAGTGGATCAAAAAAGCATAACGTAGTTAATGGGAAGTACCGGTCTGTATGTGTTATCAAGGGAGGGACCTGTGATCAGTTGTCTATCTATCACAGGCAAGCTGAGTGACAGGGGTGACAGGGAGTGAGGGTCGCGCAAAGATGACTCCTTACCTGTCATCCTCGTCCAGTTCCTCATCGTCGGACGGTGGTCCCTCATCTGCAAAAACGAACATTCCAGCGCCGAAGTCAAAATCACGATCGGTATCACCGTGACCTGCTCCATTTCCTCGTTCTCCATCTTGTAGTTGAACAGTTACTATATCGCGCATCACGACGTCGCGACCCCTAAAGACTTTATTGAAGTAATAGCAACATGGAAGATATATATAACGCTACTGTCCTTTTCACGGAGAACTGCGTTCAAGTCAACATCTGATTAACGGGGCTCATAACAAATCCTCTTCTCAGTTAATACGCATTTTGCACCAGAGTGGCTAGAGGGTGTTCCACATAGTGTCCATGCAGAGCTATAAGCCGAGCTCTGTGCGCAACGCCCGGAAATAACGCTACTACTTCACGAGGTCACTGTGCAGTCCTTCTCGCTGTGG